TTCTGTTAGACTGTTCCATAATTTAACTCCTGCTATGGAGATAGACATACTTTTTAAAGTTGTTCTAACACTTTGTATTTTAAAATTCCATTTCCTTCTTAAGTTATACTCACCTTCTCTTTCTATAAACAATTATCAGATTGCTTTTGGAATTCAATTCAATCCAATTCCATTTTATTTATATAGCGCCAAATCCCAACAAAAGTCGCCTCAAGGCGCTTCATAGATACAGAGAAAAACCCAACAATCATATGACCCCTTATGAGCAAGCACTTTGGTGACAGTGGGAAGGAAAAACTCCCTTTTAACAGGAAGAAACCTCCGGCCCAGGCTCAGGGCGGCCATCTGCTGCGACCGGTTGGGGTGAGAGAAGGAAGACAGGATAAAAGACATGCTGTGGAAGAGAGACAGAGGTTAATAACAGATATGATTCAATGCAGAGAGGTCTGTTAATACATAGTGAGTGAGGAAGGTGACTGGAAAGGAAAAACTCAATGCATCATGGGAAACCCCGGCAGCCTACGTCTATTGCAGCATAACTAAGGGAGGATTCAGGGTCACCTGGAAGCATTGTATTTCTTACTTTATATATTATTTGCGCTGTTTTAAACTCCACCAAGTCTTGGAATTTAATAGCTTGCATTTTGAAAAATAGTCAATTTGTATGATCCCTGTACCCTGGATTATTTATTAATCTAGTGGCCCTTTTTTGTATTATTGTTATTGTTTGTGTATTACTTTTGTATGTGTTTCCCCAGACCTCTACACAGTAGCTCATATACGGCAGTAGTAAAGCACAGTATAATATGTGCAGTGCTTTCTTTCTCCAGTATTTGCTTTGCTTTCCCCAGGATGGCCATGCCCGGTGCCAATTTCCCTTGAACATAAGTAATTTGTGGTTTCCAACAGACCTTGTGGTCAATGATCACACCAAGAAATTTTATTTAATTCACTCTTTTTTTAAATATACATTGTCAACACATATTTTTACTTTGATATAAATCTTTTGGTTTCCAAACAACATAAATTTGGTTTTATCTAGATTCAATGATAATCTTTTTTATATCAAACTTCTTTAATATCGTTAAATCCTGTGTGATCATCTCCAAAACACAACTCCTCTGCACATGTACAAACCACCATTTTGTCAGTAATGCTTTTTTAAATTATCTTTCATCATCGTTATAAAGTGATTGGACAATAAAAATTAAAAAGAAAACCCACCACCACCATGATTGTTTATCTATAAGCATTTGTTTCATTTGGCAGCACTGTCTGTCAGTGGATATCCAATCTCCGTGGAAAATTACTTGATGCTTGAGCACCTAAAACAGGAACAGGATGGCATTTTTGTTTACTCGTGTGGCCAGCGATAGCTTTCCCATGGCAGGCAGTGGAATAACTGGAGCAACAGGAAACTCTGGCTTAGGAAAAGAAGGTGAAGGAGTGCGAGGCCAAAAGGACACAAGGGTGAACAAAATTTTTGGTATTCACTTGATGGTTAAAAATTTGAAGAAAAGGTTATTTCTATGAGGTCGTTGAGCCTTAAACCCTGCCTAGTTACCAGCCTAATGATGGTGTTTAATAACTGAAAGCAGAGTGGTCTTTCCAAGAATGGTGCAGGATGGTGGGTGTGGGTTTGAAAACCTGTCTGTTACCAATTAGGTTTACTCAAGTGTGCTTCTACATTTGTTTGCAGCCTTATGCTGGAGCTGCAGACCCGACTGCAGGACTTCAGTTCTTTCTCTGCAGGCTTAATAGCAGACTTAGAGATGAGTGAGCAGTGCCAGAATAAGGTCAGTATCACTCTTTTCATGCCTAGGAGACACAGTCTTGACACCTTATGCATAAACATGGAGTCTGACATGCATTTTTCCTGTGCTGCCTTTTTGTTTGTGCTCAGTAGTTATTGTATTAGTGATGTCGCGCAAGTCAGTGACTATGTCATGTCTCATTTGTCGTCCTCAGGTTATGGACAGAATCCTTTACACTCTGCAGTCCAAAAGACCAGAACAACAGTCAGCAGTCATACCCAAAGACAATGACCAGATGGTCTCCAGGTGTGTGTGTGTGTGTGTGTGTGTGTGTGTGTGTGTGTGTGTGTGTGTGT